ACCCACAAATGTAAGAAGAGGGCATCAGATCCTTTAGGGATGAAGTTGTAGATGGTTATGATCCACCATGTGGGTTCTAAGAATTGAACCCAGGTTCTTGTAAAAGCAACTACTGCTCTTAACCACTGAGCCATCTCTCCAGCCCAGTTTTAAAATTTATAATGAAAAACAGAACTAGAGCCTTTTGCAAAGTCAACTAGAAACAGTAGCTCTGTTCTTAAACATCATTAGGAATTTTACCTGAATCTATGAAAATCTAAAATTATAATGATGATGATGATAATAATAATAATAATACCTTGGTCAATATGCATACAGGTAGTGAGGTTTAAATCCCTAACACACCCCACATTTAATACATAAAGAAGAGTCTGGCAAATAAGATTCACTTCACTGAGGCTGCCTCTACTGTAGCTATGGCAACTTGGAGCAAAGAAATTATAGCGGAGTTGGTAATTTCACTCAAAATGTAATGAAAATAAAGCTAATCCCATTATTATTCTCCACAATTTCCCATGCAGTTTCCTCTTATCATGTCCTTGCTTGTTCATCCTGCCTTTAAAAACAGATTATTGAAAAATTGCACATGTGTGCCCTTGCTGCACTCATAGCCATTAGCACCATCCTCCTGTCTCCGAGGCATAACCTTGTTTTGGAGAAGAGGCCAAGTTCATCCTCCTCCCTCCTTTTCTTACAATCCTGGGGTGGATAAATCTTCTAAATATACCAATTTGGGCCATTAAACATTTCAGAAGCTGTCACTAAAATTATAGTAAAATAATAGTCTTTTTAAAGATAAGCTAGATAATACACATTTGTATAAGTCTTGAAAGCATGGTCCCAATTATTCTATTTTAAATCTGAAGTGTGTTCATGTGGGCTTGATGGTTATTTAAGAAAACCATCTTTTTTCTTTTCAGCCGCCACTGAAGAATATCAACTTGATGTGAGTTCCATTTAAAGTAACACTCCATATGGACACATCAAGATAATTCCCTCTGTAATTAAAGTAAGCGCTGAATGTCACCAAGCAAAATAAATAAGAAAGCCCTTTGACCCCTCTCACGCAGTGTACAATGGTACATGGTTCTTCAGTGGACGTGTCTCCTCAGTTGCAGCTTCTCCGCATTGCTCAGGGGTACTGTGCAGCTGAGAAAAGGTGCATCCCAGTCAGGACAGCTCCCCAGAGCTGTGCAGCTGCAGACTAAGGCGAGCTAATGAGCCCATGCTGGACTCAGACTCTGAGTTCATGGCTGTTTTCTGGGAACCCTGTTCTCTATTATTCTTCTTGTATCCCAGTTCATGGAACTGAGAAGGTGCTAAGAGTCTGTGGTGGTTTGAAAAGGAATGGTCCCCATGTACACATGTGTTTGAATGCTTGGGCCATAGGGAGTGTCACTGTTAGGAGATGTTGCTTTGTTAGTGTAGGCATGGCCTTGATGGAAGAAGTGTGTCACTATGGAGGAGAGCTTTAAGGTTTTGTGCATGCAAGTTATGCCTAGTGTGGCAGTCTCTTTCTGCTGCCTGGGGATTGAGATGTAGGACTCTCAGCTACTTCTCCAGTACCATATCTACCTGCATGCATCCATCTCATCACCATGGTGATAATGGACTAAACCTCTGAAACTGTAGTCCAGCCTGTTACATGTTTTTCTTTACCAAAGTTGTTATAGTCATGGTGTCTCTACACAGCCATAAAACTCTAACTGAGACAGAGTCCGTAAGGACAAAACCATCCTGCAGGGGTCTTGCATTTCTGAAAAATGGGACCCCATTAGTAATCCTCATAAAGAGGGGGCATGGATGCAACTTCACACGGTCTACACAGGCTATACATGGAGACAGCCTGGGCCACTAGACAGCACAGTTTACAGTTAAAAAGCTTGCAGGGATAAAGTTTCCCCAATCACCGTCCCTCCAACTCTCCTGGAAACTGTCTATATGGATCTCAGTGAACTGAAGGAAGTCTCCCCCATCCCAATCACAGAAATTGGGGTTGTTTTAAAGATGGACAATTTCTACCTGAACAAGGATGCTGTCCACTGTTGTTTGTTGTTCATGGGTTGTGGTAGTTGCACTAGGGAGTGGATGGAAATGAAAGGGAATGGAGGGGAGTAGAGGGTAGCAGAGAGGAAGGGGCAGGAGAGGAGAAGAACCATCTAGGATGAATACAGAAATGAATAAAGAACACTGGGGAGAGGGGAAAGGAAGGAAAGGGAAGGAAGAAGAGGAGAAAAAGCGAAGGGAGGACTTGATGGGGAAGAGAGAGGGAAGGGGATGGAGGGGGAAACTTTATCTGTGACAAATAGAGACATCAGTGAAGAAGAGAGGAAGGGAAGGAAGGGCAGAGCCATGATGGAAGAGCATCCACTTTGGATGAATAAGAAAATGCAGGAAACTAGACAATGCTGGTTACTGAGCAGAACTGAACTCGGGTACTTTGTCTCCTCAGTGTCACCCACACCAGAAGGAGCTGCTCTCTCTGGGGTCACTATCATTTCCCTGGCAACTGCTTTCTCCCTGGGGTCATACTTCATCTCCCTGGCAACTGCTTGGGCTTCACTGTTTTATTGCCATCACTCATGTTGATCCCTGGACTCCCACACATTCTCTCTTTCTTACATCAACTTTGGCAAAAGCCATCACTAAACTCTATAAACATCAAGTCCATCATTGGGTTCCAATCTCTTTCCCACCCTGACACCTAATAGCCAGGCCATCAGTCAACACCCCATATGCCCAAGTTCTCTAAAGACAGCCAAGTAATTTCTGAGACTCATTCACCACATGGTTTCCTCTATCCACATACTTTATGTAGTTATGAAGTAGTTTTCCATAAAATTACACAGTTAAAGTTAGAAGCATTTTATCACTTGTTTGTAGAACAATGATTTTCAGAAATTAGGCACATGGCTGAAGTTTAATGACTAACTATGTCCCTTGTGAACGTATAAGGCATTTAAATATGGCCTCTTAGGGACTGGTGCAAGACTACAGAGTTACTGGTAGTGGGACTCACTGGGTTTTCTGTCAGCATCTGTGTTCATATTTTTGATTCTAAGTAATACACAATGCACAAGACTTCTAACAAATACAAGAGGTTGAAGAAGAGTGATTGGTGTCAAAGTCTATACAAGGTGAATAAAGTTGAACTTTGTATACAAAGTTCAAGACAGTAGTTGTACATTTGTTTAAATTGGCACACAGTGACAGGTTTTGCAAAGGCATTTTTGTACTTAGTCTTCCTTGATCCCCATACCATTCTTGCTCCAGTTGTCCCTTGTCCCTTTCCATGTAACCCTCTCATGTTCATGTTCCTACTTTCTGTCACATGTTCTAATACCTTGCCAATGTCTTTTTTAAATACCTTTTAATCCCATCATGCCCTCTGTCTAGTCTCCCAACCTCTGCATTTACACATATAAATTCTATTTATTCATCTTACTGTCTTATGCATAAGAACATTTTGCCTGCATGGACGTCACCTGTGCCAAGTACACACTGAAGCCAAAAGAGAACAGCATCATATTCCCTGGGATAGGAGTTACAGGTAGTAGTGACCCACCATATGTGTGCTGGGAAATGGACCCAGGCCCTCTGAAAGAGCTACCAGTGCTCTTGACTACTGATCCATCTCTTTTAGGCCCTCATTATAAGCACATATGCACATGCACACATATAAATGCAGAATTTGTCTTTCTAAGCCTGGGTCACCTTACCTAATGTATTTTTCCAGGTCTTTTTATTTTTCTTTACAGTGAACAAAATTGCACTGTGTTTATATACCATGATTCATTATTTATTCATTCAATATCTGTTGATGGATATTCAATTTGATTCCACTTCCTTTGTGCTGCAGGTAGAGCCCCAACAAACATGGATGTGAAAATTGCTCTAGTAGGACTCAGTGTTTTGGGTGTATGCCCGGGAGTCCTATGGCTGTGTTCTAATGAAGTTCTATTTTTATCTTTACTTCTCTAATTGGAATAATATTTAACATAGGAGAAATGAAACTCAAGGGAGGAAAGTACTCATCCATTTGCGTAAGCATGAAGCTTCTGGTCTGTAAAACAAAGTAAGATTGGGTGCAGTGCTAAGGGGTGGTGGGAAACAGGATCTCACAACAGAAGGTTCCACTTTTAGCTTTGTCATGCTTTCGTCTTTGAGCCAAAATCACAACTGAAACCCATGGAGATATTTTAACACTTCCTTCATCTAGTCTTCTGCCTGTACACACATGACTTCTCACTCCTGTGACTGTCTATTTTCAAGGTGTCTCATGGTTCAAGACTCAAACTAGGCAACTGAAACAACTTTCAAGTGCTAGAATAATTCAAATAATTAAAGCAAAAGAAAATCCAACCAAAGACAGCTTAAAGATATGAAGCAGGAATCAATTCACAAAGACAATGAAAATGGCTTTAAGCACCTCTGCACTTCAGCCAATTAGAGCTATCAAACTGTAATCCTCAGTCTCCTCTCTGAGACACACCCAATAACTGATCTCTGATTGGTCAGTCTCAGTCACACAGAGAGTCCATGCTAACCCTCACAGGTGCTTCTGCAGTTGTGTGAACCTCCTCACAGAGGGGCAGGAATACACGTTCCCATGGCCAAGTTCATCACCACTTTGCAAGAAGAATGAAAATAAACCTCAAAGCCTAAAAACATCAAAATAGAATCAACTGTTCAATCTGTTTAAATAGAATCAACTCTAGATGAAAGTCAAGTCCACAAGGTTTCCCTAAGCTCCTCCTGGGTAGATTTGATTGTAATGTGAGAGAAGGGAAGGAAATTAGCGTGTATCCAAGTCTTTTTCCAGCCTCAAATGCTGCTACAGAGACACCTCAGACGCTAGAACCCGTTATAGCAAAGAACCAAGAGAAAAATTCCGCACTCAAGTTGGCCAGTAACTATCCATGGACAGCAAGTGGCAGATTCTCTTTCTCCTGGAAAGAGGCGAAGATCCCCTAGAGGTCATGTGACGTCCCCAAACTCACCAGATGGATGGCGCTTCTGTTCCGCTGATCTCTAAGAAGTCATAGCCCTCCTCCAGCTGGAAGTCAGTAAAAACAAGAGCGATGGTATCCCCAGGCTCAGCCAGGATGGTCCACGTGCAGTCAGCGTTGTTGTCGTACTCCGAGGGGAAGTGGGGGCTGGATATGGAACTGCTGGTTCCCCGGAGGGTTCCTCCGCAGGCTCCCTCAGCTGCAGGGATCGAAACGGAAAGACAACTGAATTCTCAGAAGCCTGTCGCACACGAGTGTGCTCACAAATGCTCCTAATGACCAGAGACAAGTACTTTCTGAATTCGCAATGAAGATAACTTTAAAAGGTCGTTTCTAGGTAATTAATTTAGCTTTATAGTGGATGTACAAAAAGCCAAAGGTTAAATTTCATTTTCAACTCAGTGTCATAGTAGGAGAGTGAATACGACGGACAAGAAACTGGATTTAACACATAGACAAATACCTAAATATGCACTTAAATGCAATTAAGCTTTTCATAGGGAGATGCAAGACAGACCTTGATACATGCTATTTACTGAGTATGGAACTGCACAGTATGTTGACAGGTGTAAATATTACTATAAAACTGTCAGCCTTGTGTATGAATACATCATATAAATAAATGATCACTAACAAGTCACATAACTGGACTTAAGGTTTAGAATTTATTCTTCTCTGTGGTTTCTCTGTGTGCTCCCCAAATGAATGGCTTGAATGCAAAACCAGCGGCAAACACAGCAATACCTGTTTTAGTACACTAAATTCCTAAAGCACTGCTCACTCCTGGAACTAGAATCCAGTTTCAGAGTGGAAGGGACTGAGGTGAGCTCATTTCAATTTCACTTTTGAGATGCGCATCCGTGTAATAAATCTGTTTACTGGCCATTCCTCTCCCAGGGTTTTAGAAGGAAATGACTGGTGTTGATCCCAACATTCTTGTATGGCTGTCTACAAGCTGCAGTTTGGTGACTGAAAACTCAGAAGTGGGCCTGTTTAGGAAGAGTCCAGGCAAAGTTTAACTAAAAATCTGCAGAACAAACTTTAAAACACATTCTTCTGGTAAAGACCGCAGTGAAGAGAGGTGACCTGCAAGCTGTGGGAAGAAACTGCAGCACCATGCATATGGTATGCTTATCTGCTGCAGCTGAGCAGGGGCGCAGCATCCTCCTGCAGCCCTCATGCACCATCTCCCACTGTTAAAACATGAAGGACATTCAGAGTTGTCTGTGGAGCTGGAGTTGAGTGATAACTCCAGGGCTGTGCGCACTCACTGTGGTAAGAGCATTGTCTTATTTTAGCATCTGATTACTGCGTTGTGATGCCAATTGGTAAAGTGATACCCTCTGAAATGACCCCAAATTTCAGGAATGCCTCTTCCTTCCACATGTGGATAAGAGTAGCAGCTTCTAAAATCTCTTGTGTGCCTACTGTGTGTGTCCTATGTCTAAGAACTCAAACTTGAATGAGTTTTTTGTTCTCAGAATAATACCCCTGGATGTCACTGTGGCCTGCATGTATTTGTGAGCAGAAAAAAAGTAGCCATGGGGATGAAGAAAAAGTGCTATAAGCAAGACAAAAGACAGAAGATTCAACAGGAAGAGAATATAAAAGCAGCCGACAGAGACGAAGACATGCATCATTTTTCTGAATCTCTACTTTTGATTGAGTTTGATATGCTAGGTATTCCAAGATGAAGAGAAAATTGAAAACCACTTATAATTAGACTAACTCTAGGCTAAGCAATTCAAGTCTATTATAACTATTTTATTGTGTTTTATTCTTCCGAGACAAGGTGTCAATATGGAGTCTGAACTGACTCCAAATGCACACTGTAGCTTTAGCCAGTTTCCAACTGTGCTACCAGTCTGCAATAGCACGTAACCCGGTGAATTGTGGAACTCTAGTAGTCTGACTCAAATCTACTCTGAGAATTTGTCACAAGCCCACAGACACAAGAGTTTAGGAGAAAATCTGTCTGTTATTCCCATATCACATTTGCCAAAGATGGAGTTTTGATTGCCAGTGTTGAGAAAAAAAAATCTATCAACTATGATATGTTAAGAAGGTTGCAAAATAATAACAAGATCCACCAATTCATGTTAAAGTTAGTCAATTTAAAGAGCTTATTGCATGATATACCAAGTGTAAGACATTTGTTGGTTGAAACACGGAGACAAAAATATGAGTTTACAACATTGCAATTTATGAATAGTAGGCATTAGAAGATCAGAAAATGTTAAGTATTGTGTTCTCACAGTGATATCAGTGGTTGGAGAATTTAAATTTAACAGTTTAATCAGGAATTTGTTTAATTATAAAAATAATCCCAAGATCAATAAATGAATATTGGGGCAAGCTATTCTTGAGATTTTGTTCTAATTGGGATTGGCAATTTTATCTTAAATTTATGAGCAAAATGGACGTGACAATACAATAGATTGTGTTTTTTTCCAATCTACATGTCTTAATAAGGATGTCACAATATTTCACTTCCGTTAAATGAAGCATGAAAAGAAATTAGTAACAACTCCCGGCTAATCTTCATGGAATATATCATGATCCGCATTTCTTGGATTGTTTTCAGACTCCAGGAATACTCCTATGTTTGAAAAACCTATCAGGCTTTGACACCACTCTTGTAAGTCTCCTCCGCAGCCCGTGAGTTAGGATGCTGTCTTATGTTGCTCTCCACCATTCTATGAGACCCAGGGCCATGACCAGCTATTATCGGTTCAGCACCACGGACGGCTCCTTTCTGCCTGAGTCATAGGACCACAGCTGAGAACAACAAGCCGGTGACATCACAGTGAACCCTTCTTGATTGGCTGCACCTGAATGTGGAAGGAGTCAAAACTCCACAGGGCCCCCGAGCTACAGGTACAATGATTTGTTCTGAATGCACCCGATAAAGAAGTAAATGAAATTCTGTAACATCATGAGTGAAGCTAAGACTTTAAGATTATAAACTTAGAGGTTTTAGTCTTCCAACCACTGGCATTCGTGGCCATAAGGATATTTGTTGTGGATGGCTGCCCTCATGCTTGTTGGAAGCTCGCTATCACCCAAGGTGCTGATAAACAATTCTCCTGACAGGTCTCGACTGTAACAAGTGATAACTCCAGCATCATTCGCATGGGTTATTTGGGGACCCTGCCTGTACAGCACCCAGTATATTTAATTCATGCTCCACCAATTCTGCTTGGACATGCCAATTATGAGACACAATACCATATTAAAATGCTATAGTAACTTTGAGTCAAAAAGAGCTGTTAGTTAGGGGATGTTTGTCTTATTTATAGTTATTAAAGCGGGGATGATATTCATGGACTTTTCCAATAGTCTGTTTACATCGAGCAATTTGATCTGAGATAATGCAATATTATTTGAAAACTGCTTCAGTTTGATATATTTCACACAATTGCTTTCTGCAAGAAAAAAATAAAAACTGTAAGAGAACTGAATAAAGAAAGAGCTATCAGATTTTTCTAAGCTAAATTATCTGCCTTTGCTTTGGAAAGACATGATAATGAGCAGAGTGATCAGAGTCCTGTGGTGCACAGTCCTCACAAATGCATCTCTAGCCCTGAGAAACGCATGTGTGGTGGGATCAAAGCTAAACTCCTTCACCCTGGCAATTCAGGTAGAGCTGTGTCTCCTGGCTGAAATGTGTTCTCAAGTGTTGTCTGGGCCTCTAATAGAAGCATAGCTCATATGAAAATACGCTGTGTCTTAATACACATTTGATGGATAATTATTATAAGTGAGGCACTAAAATATTAAGGCTGATTATTTTACAAAGCTAAATCATTCTCACCAACATTTAGATATATTAATATACCAGAGTTTTCTTCATCCCTTAGACGCTGATAAAAAATAAAAATACTATCAACAATTTATGGCTTTATTAATAACTGTTATGATTATAGAAATTTGTACTTTGAATGCAGAAAATATGGCAATCTAATTTTTAAAAATATTATTTAAAACCCATCCTTTCATTTCTTACCAAAAAAGAACAACAGTATCAAAGTTGCAGGGATAATAAATATTTTACTATGAAATTTATTACACGACACATACAAGAACATCAACTACTTCTTCAGCATTTTAGACACCACCACCATAAGATTTTTTTGTGGAAATGTGGCAGCATCGCCAAGGGCGTGGGTGTGGCTCCCACGCAAGACTTCTGTTGGGGAAATTACTTTTTAAATCTATTATTTATGTTGAATTCCTATACAATCTTTCATTTCAAGAAAAGGTTGACCCCCTAAAATAAGTCTGAATTGCCTGAGTTAATTCAGGCAGGAGACAATATTTTTAAACGACAAACGTGCCCAGCTCTATTGCTTTCTGTGAGTGGGAAATGACTCTGGGTGTCAACGAGGGACACAGATTAGTATTTTCCCTCCTGGAGTTTGGACCTTCTGAAAAGTCTTATTCTCAATTTAAAATGCCCCTTGATAGGTATATGTCTAGTTAAAAATCTCTTTTATGTACACAGTTCAAAACATCAAGCATAATATGGTTTAGAAGACTGACTTTGCCATGTCATGAAGAATTGAAACTATTTAATGAGCCACTAGAATAAGGTGGAATGCAGCCGCACTGTACGATCATCTCATGTGTAAACCAAGAGTCTGAAACCAGTTGGAATTTGCCTCATCATTCCTGAATGCTAATTTTACAAAATTAAATATTTGCAAAGGCAAGCACAGTCTGTCTCCTACTTAAAGCATATAGGATGCCTGCTGCTGAATGGTGCCTTCTAGACTTAACAGGGAAGCTGCAGCCAGAAAAATCCAAGAATAGGCCTTGCAGAGCACCTTGTGTAAATTTCACAAAACTCTATTGCTACATGAAGAACTAGAGACAATCAATGCTGAGCGAGATTCTGTTTTCTTTGGTGATAAATCCTCCAGGAGGTTATCCAATTCCAAATAGGCTCTAATCACACATTCTCTCTCTCTCTCTCTCTCTCTCTCTCTCTCTCTTT